GCTCAGTGTCATATCCAGAGGTTGTGTTTGGGAAATAGACGTATGAGTGCTGCCAGCATTGCTGCAGAGGTTGAAGGGGTGGGGGGTCAGCCTGTCAGTGCTCAGACCATACGCCGCACACTGCATCAAATGGGTCTGCATGGCTGTCGTCCCAGAAGGAAGCCTCTTCTAAAGATGATGCACAAGAAAGCCCGCAAACGGTTCGCTGAAGACAAGCAGACTAAGGCGGTCCAAGATAAACTTATTTGGTTCAGATGGTGTCAAGCATGTGTGGTGGCAACCAGGTGAGGAGTACAAAGACAAGTGTGTCTTGCCTACAGTCAAGCATGGTGGTGGGAGTGTCATGGTCTGGGGCTGCACGAGTGCTGCCGGGAGCTACAGTTCATCGAGGGAACCATGAAGGCCAACATGTACTGTGACATACTGAAGCACAGCATGATCCCCTCCCTTCGGGCAGTTTTCCCACATGATGACGACCACTGCCTTGCTAAAGAAGCTGAGGGTAAAGGTGATGGATTGGTCAAGACTGAAACCCTATTGAGCATCTCAAGGTCTCTAACATCCAGCAGCTCCGTGATGTCGTCATGGAGGAGTGGAAGAGGACTCCAGTGGCAACCTGTGAAGCTCTGGTGAGCTCCATGCCCAAGAGGGTTAAGGCAGTGCTGGAAAATAATGGTGGCCGCACAAAATATTGACACTTTGGGACCAATTTGGACATTTTCACTTAGGGGTGTACTCACTTTTGTGGCCAGCGGTTTAGACATTGACTGTGTGTGGAGTTATTTTGAGGTGTGACGGTTCCAGTAAGTAACCGGTTATGTCTGAGCTACAGGTGATTTGGCTGAGGGGAGTGGTTGCACACCTGAAGGTAATGATGGCGCTCTACAGAAGACTGGGACAGAGATGGCAGGTGAAAGTGTGGGCTGGGCTTGTGCGGAGCTTGAGCTGTCTTTGTTTGCGCCATACCTTGGGTTATACGCGAGGCTACCGGAGGACTGATGAGATGTGAGAGATACGGGAGATCGCCACCGCCATTGATCCATCTCCTTCGGGGATGGTTGTTGCTCTTGGAGGATCCATGGACTGTGTTTGGTTGGACTACGGTCTTTCATACTTGTTACACACTTTCATGTGCTGACACACTGACTACCATTTATATTGACATTCTACATGGCTCTGTTTTATATGGACAAATAAATAAATTAACTTAATAATTAGCTGTGGTGTGTGGTGACTCCCTTATTTTGTTGCGATCCAGAAAGAGATCGTAACAGAGGGGACAGCAAATATACACTGTTATACAAGCTGTACACTCACTACTTTACATTGTAGCAAAGTGTCATTTCTTCAGTGTTGTCACATGAAAAGAT